ATATATATATATATATATATATATATATATATACATACATACATGAGACATACACATTACTGATGTGGCGATGAGATGATTTTTATTGTCATAACTGGCTTTATCTATAGCAATATGACAACTACAGAGGTTCTCACACATACACATAAGCAAACACACTGACTTTCAGATGAGCTGCCAGGAACAGCTCTAATGAGAGGCCTGGTGGGACAGTCTCGACTAGAGCAAACCGTAGTTGTTCTCATACTTGTTTAACATCTCTGGTGGAATAAACATTATGAAAACCCAACTAGGTGCAAATGAAAAAAGTCAAAACTCCAAAGAGAAAACAAACAACAACAAAATACATAACAAAATATTTCCTAAATTTATGACTGAAGTTATGTTGCACACTTGTGCAAAACAACTCTACAATGGGCTTTAGATTTTTTTTCTCCTTTATTACATAATCCAAATGTAATACAAGTATTAATTCTTAATTATTGCTGAATAAAAGTATTAATTCTTAAAAAAAAATACTCAGCCCATACTTTTGAATGTATGATGATCAGTTGTTTATACTCAGACAACAGCACTCTGAACTACAAATTACCACAAGACACACACACACACACACACACACACACACACAGCAACTAATCAAAAAATCTAGCAAGACTTTCTGAGGGCATGTAAATGTTGATGAAAATATCACTTATATAAATAAAATATCCTTCTCTTCCACTCAGACCAGAACTCTCACAGAATGCTCAAGGACACACACACACTAAAAGCATTTCAAAACTGGCAAATGTGTTTCACACAATTGAGAACATAAAAGCAAGTCATTAGAGCTTTATGTAATTGTGATGTCATTAGCCCACCTGGAATACCCCTACTTCATCTGAAAAAAAAGAGCAGCAACCCACAGCCCTTAAACAGATGGAGTAACATTTTCCTGCAAACCTTAACGCCTCTGCTTGTACAGACAGGTTCAGTGGCAGCTCCATGGGGATGGCTGTCAAAACACCCAACACTACTGCGTCCAACAGCGTGTTCAGGTGAGACATATACACATAAACAGTCGCTGGGGATGAACATTCAGCTCCAGTTGGAGCAGTCTGGACTACACTGAGGATTTTTAGAAGTGCAGTAATACATTCCTATCTCCAGTACAATCATAATAAAGAAGCACACAGCTACATATTGATCATCTGTGATAATGTTTTAGTATTTCTATAAGATGGTCTATTGATCTATTTGACAGTCAAAACCTAGAGTTGATCAACACTTCACAGGTCAGTATGACGGTCTCTATGTGTGCATGGAGTACCGATAAAAAAATTACCATGATACAATGTATTTTTGGCAATTTCGATACTTGACCCGGATGACAATACATGCTATATGTAGTTTGGTGGTTCATATAGTGTTATGTGAAGTTTATGCAATGATGTGAGAGACTCACACTCAAATGTTTTTTAATGCATTTAACAAATTTGATATTAAAACAATCTAATTTATAGAGAAATTGAAATCAGATGGGATATTTAACCAAAACCCTAACCCTAACATCCATGAGAAAAGCATCAGATAACAGTGTTTAAATTCTTAGATAAACTACCATTCAAAAGTTTAGAGTTTAGAGAATTTTTTTTAAATTAAAACCTTTATGTTTAGGAGGACACATTACATTGATTAAAAGTCACAATAAAGACTTCTACTTTGTTACAAAAAATTATATTTCAAATAAATGCTGTTCTTTTGAACTGTCTATTCAGGCATAAAAAAAGCATTACCGTTCCCACAAAAATATTAAGTAGCATGACTGTTTTCAACATTGATAATAATAAGAAATGTTTCTTGAGAAGCATATCAGAAATCAGCATATTAGAATGATTTCTGAAGGATCATGTGACACTGAAGACTGAAATAATAGTTGCTGAAAATTCAGCTTTGCCATTAGAGAAATAAACAAAATAATAAATTAATTAAAAACGTTTTAAAAAATCATACCGACCCCAAACCTTTGAATGGTAATGTATGGGGAAAGGTATATTTAATTATTGCACATTTGCTAAGAGAGCAGTCAAATTACTGAATCTATTGACAGCTCTCGTTTCATTTATCATTTGCCTGATATTGTTTATTTTTTGTTAAAGGTATCGATTTAGCATCAACACTAAGGTACAAGAAGTTGGTTCAGAGTACTGAAGCCAAAATCCTGGTATTGATCCAACTCTAATGTGTGTGTGTGTGTGTCCATTCTCCACGGTGCTGGAGCTCGGCCTGGGATCTCTCCTCCCAGCTGCATCTGGATCAGAGCTGATAGAATGCTCTGTGTTCCTTATAAGGCCGCACACACTCACCCACTCCAGACGTTCACCTCATTCAGACAAACAGCTTGCCGAGAGAGAGAGAGAGAGAGAGAGAGAGAGAGAGAATGACATCTTAGCACCATGCACAACTTCTGCCTATTCTGAGAGTATCTGTAAGTGAAGACTTACTCCTCTGAGCTTTCCTGACCCTCTTATATGGAATACAATTTCAGCCGCTCAACTTGTGTGTACTGATTACAAAACCCACTGGTGAAAACAACCCCTAGCTGAATGCTACCCTTGTGTCCACAAAGTAATTGGATTCGAAAGTAACCCTTATGTAACAACTATGTGTATAAATTGTCTATTGCTTCATTCTTGACCATAATGCAAGTCACAAAGTAACTACTTGCTACCGTCCACCAATATTGGGCCAAAAAGATCAGTGAACCAAGAAGTGAATGTAATTTTTTACTTTACTTAGACAGGATGAGTGTTTCCTAAACTGTTTTTGTCTTGTACTCCCCAAAGCTAGGGGTGCTCCGATCAGTATTTTTGAGGCCGATCACTGATTGCCGATCACAGAAAGCAGTATCTGCCGATACTGATCACCGATACCGATCTTTTTAAAGCCTTCTTTTTATCATTTATAACTATTTATAGTGATAGACTGTGAAACACAGTAGAATTTAATCATATGCATTTATGGTGTAATTACTACATTTTCGTGTCAATCCATGTTCATATTTACTGCAAAAAATGCGCTGTTACTTTAATTCTCTGTGCGGAAACGATCTCTGCACTGCTGCAGATGCACCGCTCCTGGAATGCACTGCTGGACATCAACCGTGTGCAGTGTGCACGCTTTATTAATCTGTTAACACGAGCGCGGAAAAAATACGCACCACATTCGCACTGCAAACGGAGCAATGTGAACCTGGCATTATGTGTGTGCGCTGCAAGGGTGCATGAGCGCACGGTCTCCAGGAGAAGCGCGAGCGCTGAATGGTTAAACACTGGCAAGAATTAAAAAGTAATGCAATTTATAAACTTTAGTGACGATGTGACACTGCCTCGATTGTGCAAGTGACAATTCCTGTGTCAATTGTGCAGCGTGCAGCTCGCTTATAGACAGACGCGATGTGGTGATTTGAAGCCATTTGCGTATTTTGAGAGAGGAAGAGCGCGCGCGCGGTGATTCACTCACGCTGTTTGTGAAATTATGTCTCACACAAGGTTTTCAAATTACTTTATAAGTTATTTAATTAAGAAATATGAAGGTGAGTTCCTCACCTTCATCATTATAATTATTCCACCCGCGCCGGACAGAGACTGAGACGGTGCCGCTTCATGTCGTGCCAAACCTTCTCACAGCAGCGTCATCAGCTTGAGATCGTTTTTTTTTAGATCGGCCTTTTTAGAGACCCCCGATCAATCATCCCAAAGCAATTATCGGCCGATAGTTATCCCCTAGCACCCCTACCCAAAGCCCCATTGACTATAAATTTGCTCCTATTAATTCATATTATTATTTAGCATTAATAGTAATACCAATACAAAAATATAAAAATATATTGTTAAAATCACTTTACATCAACTGAGTGGGTAAAAAAAAGGCTGCCAAGTAGCTTCCACTGTCTATAAGACAACACCTGAGCTTGTCTTTCATAAGTTTTGACAGTTCCGGGGCAATCACACTTTCTCTGAGAGAAATGCTGAATTTACTTGAAAATCAGGTGGGATGTTTAACTAAATTAATTTGCATATTGTATATTGGAATTCAAACATGACAGATGCTCAACAAGTAAAAAAAACATTACCCATGAGCAAATACATCATAATTTGTGAAAATATTAATAATAAGTTAACAAAAAAGTTACAAAGACTGTACCACAGCCAAATCAAATTCTTTCCAAATAGCCCTGATTGGGAATCACCAGATTACGCAACTAAGAAGTGCGTGAACTCTATTCAGGAGGCTGAGCTGGGCAGCAAATGAACACCAACCAGCTGAGCCGGAGGGCAGAAGACGTTCTGCTGTGTCATAACCACATGCTCTCGATCCATTCTGAGCCATTATTGTGAAATATCACTGCTGGAAACAAACCTAGAAGAACTGAGGTCCAATTATGCAGGTTTTTCAGACACAGTCTAAAGCATCTTAAACTTTTCCACAATATCTGCCAGGCAAGTGAAAACTCCCCTCCGAAATGCAACTAGACACATCCAAACATCAGTCATAATTATAGACCTGTCTAAGGCTGGACATGATGTAACAGGCCCGTGGCCAGATGTTCTCCGTTCAGTATACAGCAAAAGCAAGCACACACACATACATTCAACAAAGTCCAGTTGCCAACTAGGAAATTAGATGTTCTACAAAGACCTGGATGAACAAAAACTTCCCACTTTTCCCACAATACATTAAGAAGAGGCGGCGATGCCACTCACCGACTCTGAAGTTGGGGGCAGTAAGCGTGTCCGTAGCGTGCCCATTTTCACTGATGATAGTGGTGGTGTTGCCCTGCTGACAGCTGTTCTGACAGCGGCCATTAGTGCAGGTCATCTTGCAGATAGTCGGGGTGAAGACCACCTTGATCCGGCCTGTGTGGTTCCCTACTGCAGCCCAGCAAAGCACAGACATCAACAGAGAGAAGAGAGAAAAATCCATCAGTCTGGACGGCATGGCTTTCATAAACAACTCAGAACGACTCTCTCTCACTTTTGTAGGCAGTGTCTGGCAGAACAGCTCAGGAGTTCAGCTTTAAGAAAGTGAAACGAGAGAGGAGCGAGAGTGAGAGAGGCTGGAGAAAGGAAAAAAGTCTTTCTGTTGTCTTGTCTTTTCTTAGTCTCCTGTACATGTTCCCCTGTGACTGTTTGATTCCTTTTTCATCCATTCCCTCCTTTTCTCTGTCTATGGTCCAATATCTCAGTCTCTGGAACATGAGGAGGTGACTGGGGGAAAAATAGAAGCAAAAGAGCGAGAGAGAAAAGAGAGAGAGAGAGAGACTACAGTAGCAAACAACTCTGGGACCAGACCGTTTTTCACACAGGATTCGGACAAAGCGACCACAACTCCAAGCCTTATACAGAGACAAAAAGAGGGAATGTCGGCTTTTCCCAATTAACTCTATTTCTAACCAAGGCTACAACTACTAATCAAACATATTAAAGGGGACATAGGATGCAAAATTCACTTTTACATAGTGTTTGCATATAAATGTGTGGACACAACCACCCTACAATGATAAAAATCCATTCACTCTTTTTTTAGTCCCCAAAAAACCTAAACAGTCTCAATTATCAAGCCGTTTTGATTTTCTGAGCAATATGACATCATACTGCTCAGGTCCCGCACACGGCCGCTGACGAACTGTCCCGTATTAGCATATCTCCACCCTCAGCCAGTTGAACACTATCCGCCATTTACTCCACGCTTGAGCAGCTGTAGCGACAACAATGTCTCTTAAGCAATGCAGATATTTTGTAGTTGGATGTAAAAGTGAACATAAGAGTCTTAATTTTCTCCCGACAACAGAGCCACTGAGGACGCATGGATGGTATTGTGCCACCGAATACACGAAAAGTGGAAGAGAGGGATGGGGTGAGCAGTAACTCATTATCATTTAAAGAGACATGCACCGAAACAGGTCACTATGAATAGAACTGTTTTTGATAAGGTATAAAGATGTTGTTTTACACAACCATTGAGGATTTTTAACCAAAGTGTGTTGCAGACATTTCATGAGGACCCTAAATAATCATACTAACTTGTGGAAAATGGGCATCCGATGTCCCCTTTAATATTATTAACTAGGAAAAGTGTATAGTTTAATCAATAGTTTTTAATTGATAGTTTTGGCTAGATGCAAAACATCAAATTAAAGAAAAATAATAATTTTCAGATTAATTGATTATCAAATTGTTGTTAGTTGAAGTCCAGTTCCAACCTCTTTGTCTCTCTTAAAGGTGGGGTAAGCGATTTTTCAAAAACGCTTTAGAAAACTGATTCGGGCCGAATAGCAAAACAAACTTGTAGCCAATCAGCAGTAAGGGGCGTGTCTACTCATGATGTGGAGGAGAGAGAGTTCAGTGCACAGGACTGACATTATCCGAGCCGAGCGACAGAAAGATAGAGATGGCGGATAATAAACTGTCTGCGCCACAACAGCTAAAGTCTGTCTAGTACACTGGACGCGACAAAGCGACCGTTGAAACAGCTTCATCTCTTACCAGCATAACTAGACTTTCACACCTCTGTCTGAAAAACGCAGGGGAAACAAATTTCCTAAAATAGCCTAAATCCTTTAATTTCAAATGTTATTTCCACCTGCAAAACTATGTGGAAAGGAATCTACCAACATTCTCCTCTCCTCGCCTAGTTAATTAATTCATTGTATTAGTGAGAATGTTATTTAAATTACAGTCTGGTAAACTCTTGGCATCACTGTCTCACTAAATATTTTCCAGTCAGGCATCTTGATTACCTGCCTGTTTTTCTGTCTGCTTCCTGTTTCTGTTGTTTCTTTGCCTCTATTCCTGACCCTTACACTATCATTCATCCTCAATCACTCCATTAAAAATGGCATCTTGTTAAAGGATTATTTCACCAAAAAATATTATGAATTACAAAAAAAAAGAAGAAGAAGAAGAAGAAGAATTAGACGTCATGACTTTCCCATGACTTCATGACTTTCTTCTGTGGAACATAACAACATTAAAAAAAAGGCTTATACCGTAAATAGTTTGACAAAAGTAGTCCAAACGGTTTGTGCAGAACATCCATACAGTTTGTGTGTCATATCATAGCTATGTGTGAGGAACAGAGTGAATTTTTAAGTTAATTTGCATTAGTGTGATTGTTGTTTTTTAGATTTAGTTCAATTTAGAATCAAGCGGATGTAGTAGTAAGTCATTAACATCTGTATCATAATGCTCTGTTATGTAAAGCAAATCCACCAGAAGCTAACATGTAACCTTTTCTCAAAGATCAAACAATGTCTCCGCAGACAAAATAGACATCAGTTACTGTAGCTACTGATGATGCTAACACACACCTACAGCTGTTATGAGGTTATGAAGTGAGAGAGGAAAGTAAATTGAGGAAGCCACACTAAGTATATAGTAACAGTAAGAAGTAGACTACAAGAGACGAATGGCTTTACCAGAGCACCACACACACACACACACACACAGATGGCTGCTGACAGGCCGTCTCTCGTGTGGGACAGACCTCACCGGGTGCCAGACGCCTAAGACATTGAGAAACTAGTCAGTCTGTTACATCTACCATTAACCACATACTTGTTTTGTTTTTATATAAAACTAATTATAAAACCTAACCTAAGGTTTGATGCTAGGATTTCAGTCCCCTACCTGAACATGAGCTAATGTTGCATAGAGGAATATTTCTTGCCTTTCAAGCAAAAGATTGCAAATCTTGCTCAAAGTTTATTTTTTTTTAAATAAATTCATATTTCATCTGTTTTTCATCATTTATATCAGGATCTGACAAACTGATTTAAATGTTTACTCCTTAGTCTTTTTGAAAGATTTATTAAAGGGGTCATATGATGCGATTTAAATTTTTCCTTTCTCTTTGGAGTGTTACAAGCTCTTGGTGCATAAAGAAGATCTGTAAAGTTGCAAAGACTAAAGTGGGGCGTAAAACATTTCCGCCACACGCTTGATTTATTCGGCCAATCACAACGCACTGCATAGCTGGCCAATCAGAGCACACCTCGCTGACTCATTTTGTAAGAGTCAGACACAATAATAGAAATGTGTGTTTTCTTGTCATTATTTTGCAGTAAACACCCTTTTTATCTTATTACTTTGAATTCGGTCCGCAAACTTTACCTGAGGCTGTGGATTCAGCAGTAATAATTAAAACCACAATAAAAAAGATTTTAAGAATTGAGATCGTTCAAATCAAGACTATCATTAACAAGAAAATCGATTTTTTTTTTACTCTGCCCTACCTTTATGTCTATTGCTAACAGAATAGGCTAGTTTGCATTATGAATCATTATGAAAACTTATTTAATAATCATTTTTACCTTGAAAGACATACCCAAATGTAAGTTTTAGTCAGATTTAGCATGAATTGAATGTAATGAAATAGAAATGGCATTCTCTTAGGAGCAGTTTATTTTTTAGAGAATCAGAAACATGTAGTGCAACCTGTCTGATTTCCCTGTCCCTTGTCCCCAAAGAAATTCTAGGCACAGTAAACCAACACACGAATTCAGCATTTGTCTATCATTAAATCTGAAATGTAAATAAAATATTAAGATCATAAGATCCCCCCACCCCCCATTAATCTTTCCATTCTTTCCATTAATCCATAAATCCAATCAAAACTACAAATGTAACATGAGGTCGACAGGAAGTCAGTCAGATGCTTGTCTCTTATGACCTACAGACTAATGTAATGTAATATGTAAAGGTCTGTCTCCCTCTGAGTGAACCCGGGTCACTTCTGTACGATCCGACAGCCAGTCAGAGTGTGGTCTGGCTGAGTTTCAAAGCAGCGAGAAATGGCATGTCAGACCACAACACCGTGCAAAAACAGTTACCCAATACCCCACGGGCTGCTCCTTGCATTAGCATTACAGCGGAGCTCTGGCTGTATTCGGCAGAATTGTGTAACACTGCCAGTCTGCAGGGCAGGAAGAGGGATAATAGATGTCATGCTACACATTAGTTCTGCCACCCCACTGTCCCCTCATTCACATGCAGAACTACTGTATCTAATCCTCTCACCTGCCTCCTAAGAGCACTTCCCTCAATGACCGTTTATCGTAACACTCTGTCATTTAATTCCCCCCCCCACCCTCTCTCTCTCTCTTTTCTCCAGTTCTTGCCTTCCCTCTTGGCCAGGCTTTTATCTAAAATTACCCGGAGAAAATTAGGCTAATAACTCACTTTAGACAGTGCAGCGCACAAGGCAATGCTTAAGTCTTTATATGATTTCAACCAGAGGATCCACTTGGAACGAAAACAATGGGGCTATAACTTAAGGGCTGACCTGCAGCAATACAAAATTACAATAAAGGAGACAACAGCAGACGTGCAATAGTGAGAGAGGAAGTGAGAAAGTGGGGTCTAAAACACACATGCCTGTGGTTGTGAACCATCTAACCACTAATTTGTACTGTGGATTCCCACACCTTTTGATCAATGAATTTCTCTGGTGGTTTGTGATGGATAATGATGTTTAAAAATCATTTAATAGATATTGTATTCAAATAGAGCAATTCTAGCCAAGATTAGCTTGAAAAAACAACAACAACAACAACAAATTTCCTACATTTCCATAACTCTTCCAGGCTTTGAAATTTTAATATTCATCTTTAATATCGATGACTGTGGGATCCCTGTTTTATCATCATCTTCAACTCTGCTACAGCTGTATAACAAAATTGTACTGTCTCAGACATGGAGCTAAACGTTTCTAAGCAAGTCAGACATGCTGTCACTCTCCTCACAGAACGTTTCACGGTGTATGTGATCTGTCATTCCGTCAAACATCCAGGGCTTCTTGCAGAGTCAGCGAGACTTGTTGAAAAATAAAAACTGATACATTAAATAACATTTTGAGATGCTGATGTCACTCGTTCTCAGATTTCGTCAACAGGAGGGGATGCTTTGGAATTACATCAATGTGTCAAAATTATAGAGAGTGGCAGCCAAGACATACACTACTTTTCAAAAGCTTGGAGTGAGTAATTTTTATTTTATTATGATTTTATTTTAAGATGAAATAGTCTATAATGTTGTTCACCAAGGATGCATTTATTTGATCAAAAATGCAGTAAAAACAGAAATAATGTGAAATATCATTACAATTTAAAATAACTGTTTTCAATTTGAATATATTTTAAAATGTAATTTATTTATGTGATGCCACAGCCAAATTTTCAGCAGCCATTACTCCAGTCTTCAGTGTCACATGAACAATTCTTCATGTAAATTCTTCAAGTAAATATGCTGCAGGTTAAACAAGGTCAAACGCCATTGGTTTTTACATTTCTTGTGACCAAAATTCACATGCATTATATTTGATTAGATTTTTGATAAATAATGACTTAGGGTATATTTGTTTGTTTGGTCTGCACTTAAGTGCGATTGCTGTATTCACACCTGCCCAAAAGATCCGCATCAAGGGGGGAAACGAACTTGAGTTCGATTCAATCGAACCAAACAAGACAGGTGTGAATGCACCCTTAAATTTCAGTGTGTTACTCACACACATCGATCATGACTTCACAAGACTTGGAATATAGCGCAAAAGTCTTATGAACTACTTTAGAGTGCTTTTTAGGTGTTTTAAGTGACAATTTTCTTCCATACTCATGTGCTGTCAAAAAACACATTGAATTCAAACAGATCCATCACTAGATGGATTGTACTTACGATTTATTGGTTTGTGTCCCACTGAAAGCGGGATGGCCCGGTTCAGGGTGGGTCCGACTCCGTGCATCTGTGTGTGAGTGTGGTAGTTTTTCTGCTGAACCATGAACTTCTGGGTTTTGCTCTGGTGCATCGTCATTGAAACTGGGTTTTGTACTCTGGAAGATAAAAACATTAAAAACTAAAAAAAAAATGTCAACACCTTTTTAGAGTTTTTTTTCTCTTTCTCATAATTTATGTCCATATTGAAATATTCTTATGTTTTATTTATTCATGTATTCATGTTTTAATTTATGTGGTTTTCACTTTGATTAATTACCTGCTCAAGGCCATATGGAAAACCACAGTACCCTGAACACACAGACTTGCTTCTGGTCACATGTAAATGAAACTAATCACTTGCAACAAACAAAGCACATCAGCATTCACATGAATCATGAAAAGTTATTTTGCATTATGTTTATCACACACATACAGTTGAATGCCATTTGTACAAACACATACCACAAGCACACATACAATAATCATAGCACATCACAGCACATAACACTCTCTTTTATTTCTTTCTGTTATAACCATGTTAGTTTTTTTTTCTGTAAAATCCTTTTTCTTTTTATTTGTATATCAGAATAGATTTTACTGGCCAAGTCAGCTCAATTAATGAATTTTATTCAGTTTGTTGCAGTGCAGTGCAGTGTTGTTATTATTAACTAAAACTAAAACTATTAAACGCAATTTTGATAACTGAAATAAAGCTGAAATAAAAAAATACAAATATTACATTAAAAAAAAAAAAAATTTGTTGCCTTGGCAACTAACTGAAATAAATATGTTTAAGTTGAAGTAATAAAAGTGCACTAAAACTAAGCACTATAATTAAAACAAAAACTAATTAAAGCTATATAGAAATAAAACAACTAAAATGAATAAAAATGATAAAAGCACATAATATCAATATAACTCAAATTAAAATTGAAAATAATAATAATAATAAAAGCCAATTCAAAATATTGACAAATACTATAATAGTATATAAATAATACTAAATACTAAAATAACACTGTTCTCCACAATATATATAAAACAGCATCATGCTGCTTATAAGACAGCATCATGTTGCAGTCTACCTTTTGGAAAGTCAGCTCACTAGCTTTTGGAACAGAAAAAACAAATAAATAAATAAAATAAAAATAAAATAAAATTAATTAAAAAAATACAGCCAAATTCCCTATAAGAAGTCTGTAAAGGGATTGGGGGGTCTGATAATTATCAGCTACGTCTGTGTGAAAGTATTGAACATCTTGCTAATAAGGAGACAAAACAGCACACAGCTGTGAGGAAACGGATGTGGTTGCTCAGAATCACAGCTGGGAAGCCTCATAAGACGATGACGCACGGGACTAAATCAGGGTCCACATCTCAGAATAACAGCACAGACCTGTCTAATCTCTCTAAATGGTGTCTGTACCCTTAGGGATGGTCCACCATTTATTCACCGTCATATAGTTCCAAACCTGTATCTGACTTTTCTTTCAAACAGTTTTGGTTGTCATGGACTTCCACTGTATGGACAAAAATAAATCAATGGGAACTGAAACTATTTGGTTACCAACATTCTTCAAAATATCTTCCTTCATGTTCCACAGAAGAAATTAAGGGCACATTCCAAACGGCTTTTTTGCACCCTTGAAGGGCACTTCGGGAAGGGGACGCCATTTGTAAGGATGTTCCAAACGAAAGTGAACAACTGAATCCCTTCACGAAGGGCCCTTCCAGAAGTACATTAGAAGGGAACATGCAATGGTCACTTCACGGAAGTGATTTCCGATTGTGATCATGTGATCTTCGGTTAGGAGATCTTGCAATGCATTTTAAAGCAAAGTTGAGGGTGATTTCGACTTCACATACAAACGTAAGTAGTATAGGTTAATTAAATTTGTCTATTTTAATGTACTGTATTGTCCCGAATATAAGACGATGTTTTTTTCTTGGAAATACATCTGAAAAAACGCGGTCGTCTTATATATATTTTTCGTCAGTGATAGAAAAATGATTTAAGACGGTAGTGTAAGCAATTTTAAGCAAGTTTAGTTTGAAAAAGTTTAATTGTAATAAGACACAATTAGACAATATTTGAATAAAATAAGAAGAAGAAGAAATAATTATTTGCAATAACTGATGAAGCGTTGTCAAGGTAACGCTCATAGGAGAGTTTTGTCATCCAAATGCTCATAGGAGACAGTAATGCCCTACACCCTTCAAAGAACACACTTCAAGGGCTCTGCCCTTCGAAGGGAGTAGGGCATGGGGATGCTTACTTCTGTTTGGAATTCGCCCTAAGTCATACATGTTTGGAATGACATGAGGGTGACGTTGACAAAATTTGTGAACTACCCCTTTAAGGGCCATTCTTACTAAAATCGACTTGCAATCAAAAAGTGACCAGACATCATAATGTGTGATGACTGACAAATACTGCAGAGTTCAACTTTATGCAAATGAGCATTTACACAATGCGACAACTACCAATTGGAATGCAGGCAGAGATTGCTGTCTTTCAGTGCAAGCAAGGTTGTAGACATAACAACATGCTTTTTATCCACAACAAAGCAAGAATGTGAGGACAAAGTGTATAAACAGCATCTGATTTCTGATCAAATGTAAAGCAATGGAAGGAGCAGATACACAAAAACTAGCAAACAAAATGAGAATATTTACAGGGAAAGTGTAAACAGAGGTTGTTTTTCCCCAGTGATCTCTCGTCTTTCACACTATTCAACTCAGTCTTTCATCTCTCATTTGATGTTTCCAAAGAGGTCTCATTCTGAAATGTATGTTTGTACTGCTTTTAATGTCATGTAATATGTTGTAGTGCAGTCTCTCACCCTATCTCAGGGTGTATTCACACCTGTCTTGTTTGGTTCGATTGAATCGAACTCAAGTTCGTTTCCCCCCTTGGTGTGGATCTTTTGGGCAGGTGTGAATACAGCAATCGCACTCGGGTGCAGACCAAATAACCGCACCGAGACCCTGCTGAAGAGGTGGTCTCGGTCCAGTTCCAAATGAACTTTGGTACGCTTGAGAATTTCTGTCCAATGAATGGATGACCATAGCACAAGTGTGGTTTTGTTTACAATTTCTGGTTCACTTGCAAAAAAGGCAGTGTGAAAGCAAACCACACCAAACAAAAAAAATCAACAATGTATTTGGTCCGGACCAAAGCAAGTGAACTAGCGGACTTTCCTGGTGTGAATACACCCTCACAGTCTTTACATATAACAGTTTATTTCTGTGCCGTGCATAGGGGTGGGCAATATGACCAAAATTTTATTTCACGGTATGAGAAATTGTATTTCCCGATAACGATATGTACCTCGATATAGCTATTTTTAAAATTAAGAAAATGAAGCAAATTACAAGGACAACAGAACAAATAAATATGAAATAAACGTTTTATTTATTCAGCTACAGTAGGTTAGGTTTATTTAACATGTAGTAAGAAATATTACAGAAATTTAATAAAGTGTATAAATAAAACACTGCATAGTCTTCACTGTCTCAAACATGATTAACATTAATAATGACAGACAGCAGCAGGTACATTAGACCAACTGCATGGATCCAATATACTGAAACACATCCGGTTTTCACCCAACTGTTTTACATTTATTTAACATATAACCGACTGTGTTTACTTGAAAACTCCACACAACGGGCATTATGTCATTGCTGTGTGCGTATTTGGCCATTCAAGCACAATAAAACACGAAAGAGATCTGTTTTCGCGATCGCATGCTGTCGAGAGAAGGGGCTTTCAGTGCGCGCACTTCGGCTGTGTGTCAGTCAGCGCGAGCACCGCATTGAGTTCTTTTTCACTGCTTATTGCACTTAATAACCCTACCAAGCACATCCCACTCTTTATTTTCTCATTCATGCATGTTTCCTTATCATTCAAAAGGTATATATCGTTTAAGCAGCACTGCGTTACGCATATATATATTTGCATATATAGATATATACCGTCATACCGCCGAGGCCCTAGCCGTGCATATGTACCAACAGATCAAACGATTTAAAGACCAGTCAATTGGCTCAGTGTTTACAACTCTGGGGTTGAATAACACAGCACGCAGATATATAAAAAAAGATTTTAGCAACTATTTTGTATTCTAATTATTTTAGACACACAAGTCAAGGCCTAATTGAATTTGTCTGGGAAAAGCATATAATAGCTTCTAAGAGTTGAGTTTGAGCCCTCCACTCAGACCAGCAAACACAAAACCAACTTGACTGTATATGTTCCCAGTATGGTTGTAACAGGTTTTGCTGTCGAGAAACATGGCCATGCTTGTTCACCAGCTACACCAGCATAAACCACCCTGAACCAACATGAAAATTCAAGTTGGTCTTTTCAGAAGTAAAACCAGTTAAAAACCACCCCACAAACACAGAACATTATTGCTTACAGACCACACACATAAAAAGAAAGCGTAAAATTTCTGTTCTTGAACAGGTGAAAAGCAATGAGCTGTGTAAGTGCTTATAAACTCTCTCTCACACACACACACACACACCATCACATGTCCTGGACAGTGGAAGCTGATACGTGGTGAGAACTAGCAGGAAGACAGTGTTTCAAGCATTTCCACATGCATCTCTCCATTTTCCCTGCATGTATACAGACAATTCATTCCAATTCATTAAACACACACATGCTCTCAAGCAAAAGTCCATCTTTAGAAAGTTTAAGGATGCATTTGCAGAGAGTGATAAATTGCTGCACTGGAGAGGTTATACAAAAATGCCTTATATGGAGATGAATTGGGCATGCATTATGCTAATTCGCAACTGCAGGTACGTGCTCTTCATTTAAAATAATCCAGATTTATAAACATTAGAACGAGGGAATGAATAAATTTAATGCATGAGGATTTTGTGTGAGAATCTTTTCTGCCCATCTAAGTAAGAACACTTGTGCGCAATTACTAATGAATGCAGCCCAACACAGTGAAGCTGAGTGTTTGGGTGATTGTTTGGGCGTTGCCTAAGCAAGCACTATTACTAATAAAGCCAAGAGCATTAAAAGCCAGAATGGATTTATAATTCTAAAGCCAGCACTCATGAATGTCCTAATAAGCTGCATTACCAGGCCTGGTGT